AAAAAAACCTCCTCAGAAGCATAAACAGTTAAAACACATCAAAGCAAAAACAAAAATCTCTAGTCTCTCTACCTTAAAAGTTATGCTGCAAGTACAAATGCTCGTGCGGCGAGGCCGGCCCAATCTCCTCCACAGCCACAGGCCCAACAACACTCACATTGCAGCCCATATTCCTAATCTCCACCACGTTTTTCGCCCCGTCAGCATCACATTCCGAAACCGACGATTTCCTCCTTTGTGACGAGGCCACGCTCGGAAAAGTAATCCAAGACGGCGCTCGAAACTCGAGCCTTTGATCCTCACAATCCGTCTCTGATCTTTGTGACGACTTCTTATGAAGCCTACTGCTCCCGAGCACAACTTCGCTCGGCAAAATCGGCTGATCGCTCGATGGACTTCCCATCAACAAAGCCAAAGCCCGTTCAAGACTTGTCGTAACTTTATCCATCGACGGCCTCTCTTTACCTCTCATCCTCACGCATTTTCCCGCTAAAATCGCGATTTTACTCAAAGCCTCGAGTTCTTCCGGCGGCTTTAGTGTCGGATCGAGAATCGACTCGATTTTCCCGTTTTTTATTAAAGGCACGGCCCACTCGACTATATTCCCTTCCTCGTATTGCATATCGATCGCCTTCCGTCCGCTTAAGATCTCGAGCAATAAAACCCCGAAACTATAGACGTCGGATTTGGTCGTGAGGTAGTGTAATCGGTAGTATTCGGGATCGAGATAACCGAGCGTGCCAGCTGGCAGCTCGGCTAACGGCGAGCTACTATTCGCCGGGCCAAGTAAGGAAAGCCCGAAATCGGCCACTCGAGCGTTATGCTCCTTGTCGATTAAAATGTTGGACGATTTTATGTCTCGGTGGATGACCGGCGGGCAAGCGTAGCCGTGAAGATATTCGATCCCTCGGGCGGCTTGAACGGCTATCGTGACTCGCCTTATCCAATCGAGCGGCTCTTTGACGATTTCTTTGTTCTTAGTGTGTAAGTGTTGGTGTAACGAGCCGTTGGCCATGAACTCGTAGACTAAAAGGCGTTGGCCGCCTTCTTCGCAATAACCGAGCAAGTTGAGCAGATGAGCGTGGTTTAGTCTCGAGAGTAAGTCGAGCTCGGTGTGAAATTCTTTCGAGTTTTTTTTCATGTCGGGCGAGATTATGGCTCGTTTGACGGCTACTAAAGTGCCGTCTTTGAGAATGCCCTTGAAAACGCACGAGAAGCTTCCTTTGCCGACGAGGGATTCTTGATGGAACCCGTTTGTGGCGCGTTCGAGCTCGTCGTAGTTGAACATTTGGGCTCGGCGGATCTTGAGCTCGTCTAAATTTTCTGGACGGATTTTGCCACTCTCCTTACGAAACGACCCGTTGTAACTTTTCTTTGAATTTGCCGAGCATTTGCATTTTCGTAGCTTGTAACGAACGTATAAGACGGAAGTTAGGCAAACGGCACTCACGAGAAAAACGGCGAACGAGACCTCGGCTATGAGAATCGGAATCTGCAAAGTCCAAAACTTTTCGGTACTCTTTTTTTGTCCACCGAAAGCGGTCGAGCAATTGTTGAAACAGTCGGAGGATACGCAGTTCGTGCAGTTATACGCGCATTGCCGGTCGGAATTCGAGCCGCATTGTGACACCTCGTACATCTCGTTCGGACAGGCGTCGCCACATGGCAGGCAGATATGGGAGGAGCCGCTGCCGGAGGAGGATTTACAGAGCCCACTAAACTCGTAAAAACCGTTCGGGCAGGGATCTGACCGGCAAATTCCGGGCGAGACGGCTACCGGAAGGGAAGAAGGAAAATTCGAGCCCCAGCAAATGGGTAAAAAGGATGTCTCGGCGAGAATTCCGCACGTGAAATAATCGCCGGCGGCGATTTCGTAAAGCTGGACGCCGCCAGGTGGCGGAGTGCTTTTCTCGACGGTATAACCCCAGCAAACGATACTTCTATCGGCGCTCTTAATCCCACAGGCGTGAAATTTGCCACCGACAACTGACAGAATCGGGAAATCGGGCGGGCTATCGACGTTAAGCTGACCGGAAAACGGGCCGGGCAAACCGTGCGAACCGGATACGGAGATTTCGTTCTCAAGATCCAAACTTTTCCCCCAACAGATGACTCGCGAGTGAACCCCTTCGAGAATGCCACAGACGTGAAAACCCCCGGCGGCAATTTTTCGAAATTTAAGCTCTTTCGGCACTAAACCGATTACATTACTGCTGGTTTGGTCACCCCAGCAAAAGACGCTCCGATTTTGGGAAAAAAGTCCGCAGTTAAACTCAGAGCCTGCGGAGATTGATTGGATCTGCCCGTCGAAGGTGTAGCTCTTGGTCATGTTGTAGCCCCAGCAGTCTACGAGGGACGTGTTTCTGAATTTTCCGGTGAGGGGCTTGCGCAGGCCGCAGAGGTGGTGGTCGCCGGCGCTGATTTCCAGGTATTCGGAGCCCCGAGAACCCAGTACCGAGCCCATGGGGATGAAGCCCGTGCTGCCCCAGCAGAAGGGCCGGCTCGAACCCATCTGGAGACCGCAGACGAAGCCGTTTCCGCCGGTCAGGCCGAGGAACGGCGAGAGCGGCGGCGCGCCGCGGACGATGGCGGAGTTGGAGCCGTAGCAGCTGGCGATGTGGGAGCCGTCGGATTTCAAGCCGCAGAAGGCGGGACCGCTCTCGCCGTAGGATATGGCGATGGGGGACATCGAGCCGAGGCTGTAAACCTCCCCGCAGAGCACGCCGGAGAAGAAGAGCAAGAAAATCATCAGCTTCTTCCGGTCGGTGAAAAAGGCTCGGCTTTTCCATGGGTATAGCTGATTCATGGCGAGAAAGTTCAACATTCGCCGGCGGGTTTATCGGAAATAGAGGCGGAGGAGGTGGTGGCCGCTGAGGTGAAGCGTTTACAGTGTGTGTTTGAGTGTGTGTGGGTGTGTGAGAGAGAAGGAGAAGAGGGGGAAAGTAAGCTGGTGGGTAGCATTTAATATTGATCGGACGGTGGATGTTCGTCTGGTTTGATCTGACGGCCAGATTTTGATCTTGGAACAGTAAATCATTTGAAGGAACCGCTGGATATCACGCTCGCATTGAATGCTTGCTTTTGTAGGTTCAGCTAACAATGTGATGTGGCAATGGTTATTTTAGGAGGGGCATTTTTTGATTTTTTTTTTAATTTTTATTTTTTATATATATATGAATTGAATTTGGATTTTAATTATTATTCGTGCATATAAAAGGAGGATTTTATTTATTTTGTTTTGTCAAGATATATTTTTATCGTATTAAAATTTATATTTTTTTTACTATTTTATTTACAATATTTAACAAATAATCAATCAATTTACTCATTTTGTAATTGGTATATATTATTTATGCATATTTACATAAATAAAATAACAGTTTATGTTTTATACTATATGAAACATTAATGTCAAAGTAAATTGTTTAAAAAAGGTTGATTAAAAATGTTATATATATTCAACTCAAGAAAATGAGAAATTAAATAAATAGTAATAATGTATAGATCCTTAAGTGATATAATTATACATTAGTCTTTAATGTAAATAAATGTAAAATGAGAAATGAAAATTGCTAATTTTAGTATAGAATGCTCAGTTAGACTTTCTCTTGTGCTTATTATATGATAAAAATTATTTCAAATTATATTGTTTTATTTAATAATAAAAATATAAACTTTTATTCAGAAATTATATAGTTTATTGCATGTCCGACTTTATACTATTTTTCTAAGCAACTGATACAATACTCATGGCTAAATTTGAAAGACAACAATGTAATTGAAAATTTTATAATTACAATTTACAATGATTCTTGCAATTTACGTTTCCATATTACGAAAAATTATTGAAAATCTTATGATGGGGGCAATAATCAAGGGTTGCAATAAATGACGAAAGCATATATTACCTCAACAAACAAATAAATCCCTTATAATATGCTTTGACAGCCTAATCGTGATTTATTTTAAATTAATGCTGAACAAATGCCACTAACCATCACAATATATTTACCAACAATACATCAATTTATAACCTAATTTTGTGCATTAGATTTCATGCTGTATTTCAATATGACCAAAAATTAGATGTCTAGCAAAAAGTATGGTTCAAAAAAATGTTATTCACGACTCATGAGTTCGGCTCACCCGAGTAGAACAGAGCTCACTAGGTTTGATTTATAAATAGAAACTTTTATAGAATTTTAAACTTTTGTTAGATGCCAATTTTTAACAAATTTAACTCGAGTCCCTTTATAATTTCGCTAACTTAATAAATTGAGTTCCACTCAATTTGAAAAGTCTTGAGCTCGAACAGATAGATGTGTATTGATGGAGTACAAAATTAATTNTGTGGAGATTTGAAAGTAAGAACATCGAAATATTTTGCATCTGATTAAACTGATGAACATATTTTTTTTTTTCTTTTTATGAATTGGAGCACGAAAATAGGTTTATTCAACACACACGCCCATAAAACAACATAACCGACAAAAATACATAAATAAGTATCAACAAACACAAATCGGTCCCTAATGCGAGTAATGCTGTTGGATTTGCTGTATAAAGTCAATGAAAATAGAAGATTAATGTAAGTTTGGTAAATGTATATGTAGCTAACATTGATAAATTACCTTATTGTTTATAAATAGATTTTCTAGCCTACAGTGGATAGTTTATGCTCTAAATTATTAAAAATATTATATTTACCAAACCAAGCTATAAGATAGTAAAATACATAAACTCATTTTGCTGTAACCCATTTTTCTTCACGATTGCTCTTGTATCACCGATTACAGAGACTCTAAAGTTAACTAAATATATAAAACTTACAACTAACTAAATAAATTGTAAACTAAATTATTCTACTCTACAATTAAGTATAGAAAAAAGTATCACATCTACTAGACAATAGACATTGAGTTTGAATCATAACTATGCTAGCTGAAATGAAATAAAGGCTCATACTTAAACTCAGCAATATGTATCAGAAAAAAACAAGTACACTACTTTTATTTATCTTTTTTTCCACGTAGTTCAGAGTAGAAGATAATTAAATATTGATATGTGTGCTTCTCGGGATTTTGGGATGACTTTTGTGTCATATTTTTTTAATTAAATTGGGGTGCATCAATAGTTAAAAACGAGTCTTATCTGGAAAATTGTCACTGACTCAACATTTTTATACCAAGATGTTTAACATGAAGTATAATATAAAACCACCTCTTTACATGTGGCGTGCATGTGGTATCGTTCGAATTTTGCGCCGATCCTCAAATTTCATAATCTTAAATTAACAAGAAAATACGAATGTAAATATATTAATGTACATTAGGACTGTTTTATACATATTATTCGTTTTTATGATACTTGCACTATAGATCCAATTAATTATAGAAACCGTAATGGGCCTGTGATGATTGGCCTGTCTTGTTATTTAAGTCCAAACATTAATTGGGCTATTTACCATATGGACTCACTTTATACGGTCTTTTTAACCCGACCCGATACAAAACTGAAGCTATTAATGGAGGATGCTATTTCGATTTTCGTCTTTTACTAATCTGTTTTGCTCAGCTTCAGCTGTGTTAAAATGGCGGACGACGAAATTGTCTACCCGAATTCGCCTACGGCTAATTGGAACTGTGGATTGGATTTTTATTGCTTGGATTGGGAAGAACACACCGTGGATAGTTTCGAAACTCCAGATCTCGTTCATAAAAGAGTTACAGAGCTCCGCGAAGGAGGATCGATATGGCGTATGTATACTTTCTCCATATATATAACTCCGTTTATTCTTTTATGAATCGAATTTTTGTTTGGTCTTCTTTTGTTCTGATATTGTTAATTACGAATGTTTGGATCATGGGCCATCATCAGGGAAATTTTCGATTATGGAGCATGGGCCATCAGGTTTCGAAGAGCCTGTCCTGAATTGCTTCGAGTCCCGTCGGTATTTCAGTCTGAGCAGAGGAAATTGGCCAGGTTGATCTGTGAGAGACAGTATGCGGCACGTCTCGAGGCTTTGAGTGGTAAGTCTGCTTCACACAACCTTTTTATTTTTTCTTTTGTTGTTGTCTTTTATAAAGAAACCTTTGTGAATAAATCCTGACTGGATATATTGGATGATTTCTATAAGAGGGGGTGGAGGAAGATGAGGAGTAGGTGAAAAGGAGCAATTGGGAATGAGGTGATAAAGATAGAAACTGGAACGCGGAACCAATTAGAAGCCATAGATTTCTATTACTATAATTGATTCAGAGAAGATGTTGAAGGTGGTAGCAGCAAAGCCCATGAGAGGGAGAAACTCTGATGATATATGAGGCAAAAGTATATTATCATTATTTTTGTTTATTTTTTTTGTGATGATTGATACTNATTAAATTATGATTTTAAAAACTAAATTAAGAGGGAAAACTTACTTGTAGAAAGTTTATCTCACTTGCGATATAATGTTTCTAGCCAGTTCAAGTTTAGAGAGCCGCTGTATGAAAACACAAATTTATTAATAATTGAGTTACAAAATAATAAGAGGAAAAAATTAATTATGCTCATGTAGGTCAAAGTAAAATGACAAATCTGATAGTGAATCTGATAAAGAGAAAAGGGATAAATAGGGTATACTTGTGGTCGTTTTCAGCTACGCATCCATGCAACCGTCGAGTACGAGGGTGTAGTCTGAGGGGCAAATGGCATCTTGACACCCCTTCCAACGCAAATCACTCGATCTGCCACCTCGCGATTAAGACTCAGGATCTAACAATCTCCACATCAGCAACGCATACTCCCTCTCCGGCCGTGCAGACGACCACCTCAGCAATGCATACTCCCTCTCCACGGCCGTGCAGAAGACCACCTTAAACCGCATCTTGTCTTCGCTCTCACGTATGAAGTCCCGCAGCAACGTCCATGCAGGTCGGACACGAACAATCATACTTGTATTTGTATCCTACGTGATTTCACCACACCAAAATAAATATACATTAATAGCAATTACAAAAAGGAGAAGAGAATCAAAGAAAAATAATGCATTTAAATGTTACATACTTTTGGCAATAAATATTCTGTCATCGTTCAACCATAACCTCCCCAGAATGGTTGGTGATGCTATTTGACTCTATAAACTGTCTTAGGAGACAAAGATCTTCTTCACATCTCCCGATAGAAACATCAAGACCATAACCAGTAATCTTTTTTTCATTCTTCAATTGTTTTAGGTCTTTTTGGAGCAAACTTGCAGATCGAGCGCACAATAGTGTGACATCCAAGTCTAGGATCAAACCAAGACGAGCCGGCAAGAATATGCTCTGAAAAACTCCATACGCTCCCTTGGGCATGCTCAAGCCCCAGAAATACAAACCCTCACTACCTGATGAAGCAACTGGAACTGGAATCAGGTTGATTTCCATTTGCTCCAGTTTGACTGTTGTCGGGTGTGCTCCATTATACCTTATACGGTATTATGCTTCACGATGGTCGTTGGTGGGACGGAATTAGTGGATATACACCGGAGATGAACCTCCCAGTTCAAGGTACAATTACACTTTTGTTTGAAGATTTGTATATTTTTCTTACCAGTTGTTTTATTTACTTACCCACTGGCTATGTTTCTTCAATTTTCACAAAATGGAAATCCACCTGATTCCAATTGATTCCAATTGCTTCATCAGGTTGTGAGGATTTGTATTTCTGGGCTTGAGCATGCCCAAGGGAGCGTATGGAGTTTTCCACAGCATAATCTTGCTAACTCGTCTTGGTTTGATCCTGACTTGGATGTCACACTACTGTGCGCTCGATCTGCAAGTTTACTCCAAAAAGACCTAAAGCAATTGAAGAATGAAAAAGAGATTGCTGGTGATGGTCTTGATGTTTCTATCGGGGAGATGTGAAGAAAATCTTCGTCTCCTATGACAGTTTATAGAGTCAAATAGCATCACCAACGATTCTGGGGAGGTTCTGGGGAGGTTGTATGTCCTGTGCATACCGATTCCGTGGAACGCAATATGATATGATTGAACGATGACAGGATATTTACTCGGATCATGCCACAAGTATGTAACATTTAGATGCATTATTTTTCTTTGATTCTCTTCTCCTTTTTGTAATTGCTATTAATGTATATTTATTTTGGTGTGGTGAAATCACTAGGATGCAAATACAAGTATGATTGTTCGTGTCCGACCTACATGGGGTTGCTGCGGGACTTCAGACAAGATGCGTTTTAAGGTGTTCGTCTGCACGGCAGCAGAGAGGGAGTATGTGTTACATGGATGCGTGGCTGAGAGAAAACCACGATCGAGTACACCCTATTTATCCATTTTCTCCCTATCAAATTCACTCTCAGGTTTGTCATTTTACTGAACTACATGAGCATAATTAACTTTTTCCTCTTATTATTTTGTAGTTCAATCATTAATAAATTTGTGTTTTCATACCGCGGCTCTCTGAACTTGAACTGGGTAGAAACATTATATCGCAAGTGAGAGAAACCCTCTACAAGTAATATTATCCCTCTTAATTTAGTTTTTAAAATCATAATTTAATANGTTGGAAGCTAACTGACAAAAGCTACATTCTCTGAAGTCTTTTCATGTATTTATACCGATATTGTGTTATTCTGGTTTCTTCGCTCCTTAATTTTGGTTCAGGTGGGGAGGTGTCGAAGCAATCCCAAACTAACTGTGTCTGTAAAAATGAAGCACTGGTCGACAATTTCATCAAGAGTATAATGTCTTCTAATGAATCTCAAAACAGTCCTAAATATATCTGATGTGATACTTTCTCTGGAAAAGCAAGTGGAGACCCTTGTGGCCATTAAGTATGATCTTGAGGAGGAGAAGGAAGTGCTCAAGATCAAAGTGATGAAAGCGGAGGACTTTGAGTGCAAACTTAGAATGCGGCTACCATCCCAGGAGGCTATGCTGAAGAATGTCAACAAGGTCAACTTTCAAAGACATAAATTTCTAGTTGATTGCATTCTCAAAGAGGATTATGAGTTAAGGGAGATTCTAGAGAACTTCACGGGAACAAGTGGGTTCCAGAGAATGTTATGCACCTTCTACAATAACGGAGTTCATGCAGCTATGGATGACATAACCAAGAAGAAATATTCTTATTTGGACTCGGATGTTATGCCATTCACTGAGAAAATGGAAATGACTCCTGAGCTAGTTTCTTGTGAACCTTGGTATTCGAAGCTTGAAGCCTCTAGATGGCATGGAGCAGGAGGGACTTTGAATGCTGAATACCAAGCGGCTGAAGCTGGTGGTAATACTAGGATTCTTTGTGCTTTGTGATGACTTAGACTTGCAATAGTACATCTCATAATCAGTTCTCCTTGTGCACCGTTTTCTTTTTCCAGGCAAAAAACTCTTGGTGAATGATAATCCTCAACCAGAAGCTGAACAACAAGCCATTGATGATGATTCCTCTATATCAACCATCGTTCAGACAGATCAAGATCAAGTAGCAGATGAGGGTAATAATTAGGCAGATAGAGCTCATTTCCAATCATTTTTTTCTTTATCCTTCTCCCTTGTCCCCCTGTGCTTTCTTCCTATAAAAAGCGTAATAATAAATTTAAACCTGTAGCTAACCAATCTGTTTGTCNAATCTCAAAGGCAAAAACCTCTGTTATCTTCTGGAAACTGGCACAGATCAAGATCTTGTACAACGACAATCGAATAAAAGAGCAACACCACCCGACTCAGAAGAGCATTCTACGGAGAAAAAGGCAAGATTGTCTGCCGGAAATGAGCAGCTGGCAAAGGTTGAAGAAACCTGGCAAAAAATTAACTCGTTGATAGAAGGCTGGAGTGATGAGTACCTGACCTACACTTTGATGGCCCATACCATCTTGAAAAGGAAACAGTGAGAAAAGAGGACCTGCAGAAGATCCAAGCATGTTGGAAAATAGACATGCCCTTCAAGGGAGAGTGGAGGACCTATGGTTTGCTATATCTGGGATCGAGGATGAGAAGAAGAGACTCAATATCAGGCTGAGCAAAGCAAAGGAGTTGATAGCTGTCCTCAAGCTCAAGTTTTCAAAGGTCAATGAGCTCAAGGCTAGAGTCACTGACGACACGAGAAAGATTGAGGCAGAACTCAAGGACTATATGGGTGCGTTTAATCATCGGCTTCGCGAGTTCACGGACAAAATATCCTTGTTGGCCGAGTCCGAGAAAATCGAGTGTTTGGTTCGTGAGAAGGGATACCAGTCGACGATGGATGAATGGGCAAAGAAGATTCAACCTGCTACTCCTGATCAAGTAGTTATTGGCAACTAATGCAGAGTGTTGGATTGACTTTTTCAACCACTATTTTATATATTATTAGTTTTTCTTTCCTGTTTGTTTTAGCAACAACAAAAGCAGGGTGTTGAATTGAACAAGTCTACTGCTTTTTTGTTATTTGTGTCCACCTGAGCCTTATTTATTAGTGTTGTAGTCTCTTTAAATGGCCATCATTCACTTACTTTTTTGTCGATGATTAATGCTCTTCTGTGAAGCTTCTTGTGACCAAGCAATTGCTAGCGACATAGATGCCTCTTTCCTAAAGGTAAGATGGGGAAAACTCCATGTACATTCTTTTATTTTATCACATTTAGCTTATTTGAGTAATAGCTGACCAATGCAGGTCGTGTCGAGTGCTATAATCGACAAGTACATAGGGGAGAGTGCTAGATTGATCAGGGAAATATTTGGCTATGCCCGTGATCACCAAGTAAGTTTTATCACATGATGTTTACTTATGTGTTTTTGTTGTCTTTTTATATAATTTGATTTTAAAAAGAATATCTGTCCTCCTTATTCTGAAGCCCTGCATCATATTTATGGTCGAGATTGATGCCATTGGAGGATGCCGTTTTAGTGAGGGAACAAATGCCGACCGTGAAATCCAAAGGACACTCATGGAGTTGTTCGTGTAAAGTTGCACAGGACACTATGGTTTTGTGATGTGTTCTGAATTATTATTGATTCGTGCACATGTAAAAATGATAATGGTGACGAAACAGGCTTAATGTTCTGGACCCTGCACTTCTTCGTCCGGGTCGCTTAGATAGGAAAATTGAAATTCCATTGCCCAATGAGCAGTCGAGAATGGAGATTCTAAAATTCCATTCTTCTGGTGTAGCTAAGCATGGTGAAATTGATTACGAGGCTGTGGTGAAACTTGCTGAGGTGACCTAGAAAAGGCTTTTTTTATCAACTCTATTGATTGTTTATTTATTTATTTAATATTTTTCAAACATATCTGTACAGGGATCTAACGGTGCTGACCTTCGTAATATCTGCACTGAAGCTGGAATTGTCTGCGATTCGGGGGGAACGTGATTATGTCATTCACTCATTTACGAAGACTTCATGATGGCCAGTTTTCTGCATTGTAAAGATATCAATGTTTTTATTTTAGGAAGATTAATGTTAGTGTTGTAATTGAGCCAAATGAGCCAGGCCTCTGAGCACTTTGCGCTCGTGTTCGATTATGTTCGAACATTGTTCGTGTTTGTTCCTTAGTTATTCGAGCAAAAATTCGGGTTTGACCTCGTTTGTTTAGTTGTTTGTCAAAGTTTGAGTTTGTTTTTGTTCGAGTTTGAATAATTACGACACATCAATTAACTGGAGTTCAATTTATTTGAACTCGTTCGAGTTTGAAAATATTTTTTTATATATATTGGTACTAAAACTTTTTATTAAAAATATTTTACTTAAATATAAAATATATAATTGATTAATTAAATTATTGTTCGGAACATTATCAGATGTTCGCGAGCTCATGTTCGTTTGATTAACGATTGAGCCTAAGTTTTTGTTTGAGCTCGGCTCGATTTATAAGCAAAAGATCTTTATACAAACTCAGATTCGGTTCGTTTACAACTAGAAGCATGTCATTTTACTGAATTTCGGAAAGCTATTACTTTCAGTTTTTATTTCATCCTACAAAATAAAATACATGACAATTTGTTTGTAGGTGTTTTACATTTTTCGCTTTTACAGAATTAAATGCATTATGCATTTATATGTGAAGAAATATTGCCTGAAACATATGTTAGTGTCTTTGTTGAATTTTTTTAGTTTTCCACTTTTACTCAGTTGAAAGTTAGTTATAGTGCCTTTTTTTTTCTTTTGCTTCATATATGAGGCTGGATTGATCTTATTGTAGTTGAGCTTTCCGTGGATTCAGGTTTGTGCAATTATATTTTTTTATTGGTTGTTAGGTATCCTAGACTAGTACTTTTTGTAGCATTGGATATATTTTGAATTTTTTAGATTGAAATTGTCCATGTCATTATACATTTAAGTCTACACCCTTGTATGTTTTCAAAATTACCACTTGCCATTACATATCTAATACTCGGGTTAAATGTGCAGTTAGTGTTCAACATTACTTTTGTCAACTATCTCACAAAAATGTGCATTTTCCTTTTTTGAATTCTCTACAAGTTTCTGGATAATTTACTGTCGCTAAGTTGATGTAATGAAGAGAGAAAGGTTGGAACGTCAAAGTGAAACATATTTTTCGAGAGGCAAATTTTGCGGCCGACCATTTGGCCTCCTTCGCTGCGGATGGATTGTTGGGATACCACTTTTTACATGATACGCCGAATGGAGTTTGTCAGTGGTTCCACCATGATTTTCTAGGCGTAGCTTATACGTGGGCCGTGTGCAACTAGACACTAGGCGATAGCCTCTTTCATTGTACAAAAAAAAAAAGTTGGAAAGAATCGAGTATGAATAGTGAGAAAGGGTGATATTAAGAGCGAAGAATGTTCACAAATCATGTGTTTTCCGTTCCTATTTTTTCCTTTTAAATACAAACGATCTGGACTTTTCATGACATACATGCATACTGGTCTTAATACTAGTACTTAGCCCACCACAACTCAAACAAGCAAAGCATAGATAATAATAGGCCCAACAGATGGCCCAATTCCTCAATTTATCCCGGAGCACTTTCATCTGTTCATTTGGATAAGGTTTCCCATTACCATTTTCTTCCCCAAATTCATATATTCCTCTTCCCCGATCTGTCCGTTCCCAGCGGCTCCTTCCCCTGCAGCTTCCTTCTTTTCAGGCAAAGCTTTGCCTTTTTCCTCTAACATTACCAAAGTCTGTACCTTTTCCCCCAGGATCTCTTTTAAGGTCTCCAAAGCCGGAAAGCTGTTCCACCCGAAGCCGCCACCGCCCGGAATCGCCTCGTTTCCCGTCGACGACGAGAAATCGTGATGGGCCTGGGTAATTGGCCCGTTTTCTTATTTTGTCAAGTCGTATTTTGTTTTGCTTGATGATTTGGATTGAAATTGTGAATCTAAATGAATTTGTTCGATATAGTCTAGTGTGTTTGTATTTTGGTTGGTGTTCATGAGGCTTGGAGGCTTGGTTGATGGCTGCGGGAAGGTGAAAATAAAAGACAATGAGTGTGNTTGTTTTCGAAAGGTTTACTTGGTAAATTACAAATTATTATTATTATTTTTAGACATTTATTTAAATAAGGTATAGTAACTTACAAAATAGATATTTTTTTTTTCTCTGTTTATTTGTTATAAATTGAATTTTTGTTTGTTTTTTTTTTTTTTTCTCATATTTGTTTATTACAATTTTTTTGGATCATGGGCCATCAGGGAAATTTGGGTTTGGGGTCCAGTTGGTACATTCAGTCCGAGCAGAGGAAATTGGCCAAGTTGATCTGTGAGAGACGGTATGCGGCACGTGTCGAGGCTTTGAGTGGTAAGTCTGCTTTACACAACCTTTTATTTTTGTCTCTTATAATGAAACCTTTGTGAATAAGTATATTGGATGATTGCTATAAGAGGGTGAAAAGGGGCAATTGAGAATGAGGTGATAAAAATAGATTTCTATTACTATAATTGATTCAAAGAAGATGTTGAAGGTGGAAGCAGCAAAGCCCATGAGAAAGAGATTGTGGGTACAAACAACCAACAAACCAACAAAGAACTTCTTTTTCTTTAATTGAATGCAACTCTGATGAGATATATATGAGACAAAAGTATATTATTATTATTGATTTTGTTTATTTGTTTGATGATTGAGCCTTAGATTAATGGGCAAATGATACTTAAATATGAAGTAATTGAGAGGGGGAGAGTGAGAGAGAGAGAGAGAGATAGAGAGATAGAGATGCAAAATGATTGATCAAATTTTCCATCTTATCTTATACTGGATGATTGTTGTTATGTTATTTCACGTAAACAGCAGCATGTTTAGAATTGAATATCTGAATAGTTTTAGGCTGTTCAAGCATATACTTTTGAGGTGTTTATTGGTGGGTAGCTGCATGTTTTGCATGTGTGTGTATATATAGCTTGTAATGAAGTATCCTGCTTGTATATGATCCTCCTGCCTCTTTAAAATGCAGTCTTGGTAAACAATATTCAAGACCAGTTTTCAAAATGACAATTATTCAGAATAGTTAAATACAACTCATTTTTACATTTTTTTTTTTTAAAAATTCCATGAAATGCCAAATTAGAACGGCATCTTAGCCACTGATGGTACTCTACAAGCTTTACTTGTGCAGTTAAAACATGTTTCTCAAAATTTCAGTTGCAGAAGGGAATCCCGATTATAATATAATCATCATGGGTGAGTGGGGTTGCTAGTTATTGAACTCAGAGACATTTTTGATTGAGAAATCATTTAAATATGTTGCTTGGCAGTCTATGGATTCTTTTGTTTTTTTCCTCTCTCCAGATCTTGCTCTCTCCTTACGAAGTCTTTTTATGAATTTATACTCATATTGTGTTATTCTGGTTTCTTTGCTCCTTAATTTTGGTTCAGGTGGGGAAGTGACGAAGCGATCCCAGACTTATGAAAAATGAAGCACTGGTCGAGAATTTCTTCAAGAGTATAATGTCTTCTAATGAATCTCAGGAAACGGTCCTAAATTTGTCTGATGTGATGTGATCCGTTCTCTGGAAAAGCAAATGGAGCTGGTCTTGAGGAGGAGAAGGAGGTGCTCAAGATCAAAGTGATGAAAGCGGAGGACTTTGAGTGCAAACTTAGATTATGGCTACCATCCCATGAGGCTATGCTAAAGGATGTCAACAAGGAAAACTTTCGAAGACATAAATGTCTAGTTGATTGCATCTCAAAGAGGATTATGAGTTTAGGGTAGATTCTAGAGAACATCACGGGAACAAGTGGTTCCAGAGAATGTTATGCACCTTCTACAATATGGGAGGCGATGCAGCTATTGATGACATATAAGAAATATTCTTATTTGGACCTTGATCTTATACCATTCAAAATGAAAATGGAAATGACTCCTGAGCTAGTTTCTTGTGAACCTTGATATTTGGAGCTTGAAGCATCTGAATGGCATGGAGCAGGAGGTACTTTGAATGCCGAATACCAAGCAGCTGCAGCTGCAGCTGGTGGTAGTAGTAAGGCCACATAGGTCCTTTGTGCTTTGTTTTGACTTAGACTTGCAATAGTACATCTCATAATCAGTTCTCCTTGTGCACCATTTTCTTTTTCGGCAAAAAACTCTTGGTGAATGATAATCCTCAACCAGAAGCTGAACAACAAGCCCAATCTCTTGATGATGATTCCTCTATATCAACTATCATTCTGACAGATCCAGATCAAGCAGCAGATGAGGGTAATAATTAGGCATATAGAGCTCATTTCCAATCATTTTTTTTTATCCTTCTCCCTTGTCCCTGTGTTTTTCTTCCTGTAAATAGTTTAATAATAAATTTAAACTTGTAGCTAAACAACCTATTCGTCCATTTTTTTTTTTTAATTTTATTCTCAAGGGCAAGAACCTCTATCCTCAACTGGAAACTGGCACGGATGAAGGTCTTGTGTAACGACAATCGAATAAAAGAGCAACACCACCCGACTTAGAAGAGCATTCTAAGGAGAAGAAGGCAAGAATGTTTGTCTGGCAAAGGTTGAAGAATCCTGGCAAAAAATTAACTCGATGATAGAAGAGCTGGAGTGATGAGTACCTGGCCCACACTTTGATGCCCCATACCATCTTGAATGAGGAGACAAAGGACCTCTAAAATATTCCAAGCATGTTGAGCAATAGACATGCCCTTCAAGGGAGAGTGGAGGACCTATGGGTTGCTATATCTGGGATGGAGGATGAGAAAAAGAGACTCAATATATATCAGGCTGAGCAAAGCAAAGGTGTTGATAGCTGTCCTCAAGCTCAAATTCTCGAAGGTCGATGAGCTCAAGGCTAGAGTCACCGACGACACGAGTAAGATTAAGGCAGAAGTCAAAGTAAACTATAAAAATATTAACAGAAGTCAAGAAGTCAACATAGAATCACTAAAATTTTCTTTAGGTTTCATTCTCCTACACTTTCATTGTTAGAATCACTCTACTCTATTGATTCAACAAAAAATTGAAGTCCAAGTTCGGGTGTTGCTTCTTCATGCCCTCAACTTGCTTTTCTCATGGCCTCAACTGCATTATTGTACCCTTCCTTATAGTCCTTCCTCTCTATTGCATCATCGAGATGCAAAATAGCATTAAGGTATCGAAAGATACACGATCGAGCATGATGATGCTCATGAGTGGATACACCCATCTTCTCAAGCTTGAGTTTCGCCTCCGAATGAAACTGGAATTCATACCCGAATCGAGCTTTTTGTATCATCTTGTTCTTACACGTTCCCGTGATCGTGTTCCCGCCCTTGTGTCTCGTCTTTTTTCTCGAATGACCCATTTTTTTAGAGTCTGTGGTTGTATTCGTCCTTTTCTCAGGATAATAAAAGGATAACTAAAGACTGGAGCTGCACAAGGCCCTTCTTTGCACATCTAAATTTTTAGATGGCTTAGATGAAAGCTCTCCAAAATCATCCTCATACTTGATTTCATCAACCCTCTGTCGTACCTTATTGAATTCACAGCACGTCGGGAGAATGTACCTTTTGTAAGTTAGCTTTCAAAAAAAAATAAAAAAATACATTATGATTAAGAAAGCTAATTGAGAGGAAAAACTTACTTGTAGAAGGTTCCCCTCACTCCTAATATAATGTTTCTTGCCAGTACAAGTTCGAGGAGTCCGTATCAAAACACAAATTTATTAATGATTGAGCTACAGGATAATAAGAAAAAAAAAAAAAGTTAATTATGCCCATGTAGTAAAATGACACTTCTGAGAGTGAATCTGATAGGGAGAAAACGGATAAACAGAGTGTACTCGATCGTGATCGTCACTGAGCCACGCATCCATGCAATCATCGAGTACAGGGGTGTACGCTGAGGTACAACTGGTACAAGATACAACATGTGTGATCGACTTCTTGATACCCTTTTGAACGCATATCACTCGGTTTGCCACCTGAGTCGCATGGATCAAACGTGATTCAGGATATAACAATCTCCACATGAGTAATGCATACTTGTTTGCACGGCCGTGGAGTGGGAGTATGCGTTACTCATGTGGAGATTGTTGGATCCTGAATCACGTTTGATCCCTGCGGCTCAAGTGGCAAATTGAGTGATTTGCATTCAAAATGATGTCAAGAAATCGATCACACGTTGTATCTTGTGCCAGTTGTACCTTAGCGTACATCCTCGTACTCGATGGATGCGTGGCTCAGCGACGATCACGATCGAGTACTCTGTTTATCCGTCTTCTTCCTATCAGATTCACTCTCAGGTTTGTCATTTTATTTTGAACTACACGAGCATATTTAACTTTTTCTCTTATTATTCAGTAGTTTAATCATTAATAAATTTGTGTTTTCATACAAGAACTTGTACTTGTATTTGTTAGAAACATTATATCAGGAGTGAGGGAAACCTTCTACAATTCTCTCTTAATTTAGCTTTTAAAATCATAGTGTATTTTTTTTGTTGGAAAGCTAACTTACAAAAGGTAAAATCTCCCTACGTGCAATGAGTTCAATAAGGTACGATTGATAAAATTTATGATGATGATTTTGGAGAGCATCAGCGTGTCTTTCATCTAAGCCATTTTTTAGATAGTGCAAAGAAGGGCCTTGTGCAGCCCCAATCTTTGGTTATCCTTGAGAACATGACGAATACAACCACAAAAGAGAGAAAATGGGTCATTCGAAAAAAAAGACGAGACACACAAGGGCGGGAGCACGGGACGTTCAAGGACAAGATAACAGAAAAGGCTCGAGTCGAGTATGAACTCTAGTTTGATTCAGAGGCGGACCTCTAGCTTGAGGAGATGGTGTATCCACGCTCATGAGGCATCCTCATGCTCGATCGTGTGTCTTCCGATCTCTTAACGTCATTTTGCATATCGAAGATGCAATAGCAAAAAAGGACTATAAGGAAGTACAATGGTGCAGTTGAGGCCATGAGAAAGCAAGTTGAGGCCATGAAGAAGCAACACCTGAACTTGGACTTCAGTTTTTTGTTAAATCAATCTGAGTGATTCTAACATTGACTTTTATGAAACTGTAGGGGAAAACCTGAAAAAAATTTTAGAGATCTCTCTCTGTTGAGCTTTCTATGGTGTCATGTTCTCGACGCTCCAGTGGCTGTTGAAATCGTAATCTGATTAGTTGTTACTTGACCTTTGTTTGCTCGTTTTTTGTATTAGCTTGTTGACCGTAATTTGCTCTTTTTTGTATTGGCTTGTTACTTGACCTTTGTTTGCTCGTTTCTGTATTGGTTACTTGACCTTCCTTTGCTCGTTTTCTGTATTGGCTCGTGGGTGGTTCGGGTCACTGGGTGAACTAAAGTCAGACAGTGGGAGAATCATTTTCACATACCAAGTTCAACTTTTCATTTTGGACACTGGTGTAATTTTCTCACATCTTATTATTATAGGTTAATTTTCTCACAGGAAATGTCGACTCATTATCTCAATATCAATATGTTATAAAGTATGCTTATGCTTTATATGAAATTTTTTCAGATATATGGGGTTTTGTTTAACAATCTTTTCCAACTAAAACTTGAAGGGAATCCTTATAATCAGGTTTCTTCTTCATTTGCTTTATTGTATCTTATCTTAGATTACAAAAGGAATTATACATTTTCACGGGCTTTGATTCATGAATGCATATTATTCAATGCATTAACCCATCTTTCCAACTGCCAATTACACTATATCAATTTTTTTTTTTTTATTGGGTCATATTATCGATAGAACAAGCCAATTCGACTTTATATTTTATAGTCACTACCAGATTATAATGGTAAAAAAAGGGTAATCGAGCTGTCGAGTTCAATTTTTTCCTTGAGGACATTTTTAAGAAAAGCGGCCCATTATTTTTTTGCTTTCTTGAGGATGTAAACTGTAACATTTACAATAAATAGTAACAAGAAAAAGAACTCACAATTATTACTTACTATTTCCAGCAGTTTTTTAATTTTACGTTTTAATTTTAATTCATTCTCAAAAAACTCGGTTAGCCTTAAATGGTTCCTAAATTAATGGGTTGTGTGTGTTTAATTTAGATGCACTTATAAACATATGCAAAAGTTGACTTTTTTTTTTCTTATTGTCGAAAGAAAACCGATTGCATTAAAAATCAAGTCTCATTTAGTGTGTTGCCATGAAATCGGGCTAAATAAATATTTTTATTTACTTAAAATTCTATTAAAGTTTTTTTTAAATAAATATACTACCTCAAAATTAAATATTTTTATACTAGTTGCAACAATTTCTTGATTATATATCATATCTTATTTTTTAAGTTTCAATATTAAAAATCGTGCATGTTAACAAATTGTATACCTTCTCCTTTTATATTAAAAAAAATATTGATTGCAATGAAAATCGGGGGCAATATTGAATTGATAATTTAAATTTCAAAATCCCTTGCCATATGGTTGACATAAAATTGGGCAGAATGAAAATTTGCATATAATAGATGTAAATTTCCAATTTAAATTTTAAATTCATTATCCATTATGATTTGGTTGCCATAAAATGTGGTTGCTTCTACAATTTGAATTAGAAAAATCCAATCACATATTTCTTTTTATGCAAAACACTTAAAACAACTAATTTAAGGCATCGATTCAATGAAAAAAAAAAAATATATGTATGTCTAAGACCCTCAATGTTAGATTGCAAAAGTTGGAAGAAGATTGATGAAAAAAGAACGAAAGAAGAAGTTGGAAGTGGCGAAAAATGAAGGAAGAAATGAAGTCGTAGGTCCGATAATTTCGCTATTTATACTATGTTCAGTGTAATCTAAGTCGTCGATTTGCGTTGACTAATATGGATTGTTGGATTATTTTTTCTATTTTGTTTAGGTCGATGTGAACTTTCAAAGCTAACATTATTAATGAATTGACTTTATTTTTAAATGGGCCAGGTTTTGGCCCAACTTAATGTTTAAAAATTTTGTGAAACTCCACTTTTTTCAAACGCATTCTTATTTTACAAGTCCAACATGATTAATATAAATAATTACACATATCTTATTTTAAGTATTTATTAGGTTTAATTATAATCATGATCGTTACTCTATTATATAATTTTAATTTGAATACAAAATTGGCTTTTAAAAATGATGGAAATAATAAAGCTCCGTACATCGCACAGGTACTATACTAATAAAAAGATAACGAACTATAAATTAACTAAAATAGCTTAATTATAACAGTTAAAAGCCTAAATTCAAAAATACAAATGAACACTCCATAATAAAAATATCAAAGACCCCAAAAAAAATAAAAAAAATAAATTACTAAAATTAACAATATTAGTAAAAAAGTCAAAAGAGAACTTTTATGTACGTCTAATTTGAGAAATTTCATGCAGGTGATAAGTTATCCACAATCGCCAGCTCACAAGTAAGTAATAGTCAACTCACATAGATTGAATTGAAAAGAACCAAAAAGCAAAACAAAATTTCCCATCCACCGCCGGATCACCACCCTCCGCCGCCGATGGACACCTCCGACGAACCCAACAAGCCATCCTCCGCCCATCCCGAGCCCACCTCCGCCGCCGCCCAACCTCTCCTCTCCAAACCATACCCGCCGCTCGAGCCGCCCATCGCCTCCATCTCCGGTCACGACGAAGAAGACGAAACACAGTACCTTCAGATTTCCTACAATCACGGCCCTCGCCCCGTTAAAGACATATTATTTCTCCTTCTCTTTTGTCTCTTCGTACTATGCACCTTCGTATTTGGGATTTTTGCCTCTGTCCGCAGAAACCCTCACCGCCGCCAAATCTCATCCTTCATCTACAATACGACGTCGTCCTCTTGCTCCCTGCTAAAGAGCGATGTCGATTTCACAGTAAATGCCCAAAGATCGACACTTTTCTCCGACTTGATTGATAATCCACCATTTTCACACAATCCCACGACCTTAAATTCCATAAATTCGAGTGTCCTGAGGAGCTTGATATGGACTCTGGTTATAACCCTAATTTTGAGCGGCCCCTTTGTTTTCTCCGTGCTTATGCTGCTCAAACACTACACTAAGCAAATAGTTTACGCCTCCATTCCCTTTTTCTTGATAATCCCGATCGCCATTAACGTCTACTGGTTCGTTGCTTGCACTGTGAGCTCGGCCTGCAGCCACGCTTTTCCCCTGGCGTATCGAATATTCTTGTTGATCTTCGTGTTCTTGATAATTGGGGTGATCATGTGGATTTTCGTGGTCAATTGGCATAGAATTGAGCTGACTGTGAGAATAATCCGTGTATCTTCTAATGCATTATCGAAGAATTTAGGGATATTTGGTGTTCTTCCTGTTCTTACTCTTGGATTGCTTGTTTACTATATGCCAATTGTCGTGTTTTTGATATTTGCCGACTGGAATGGGAAAATTGTGCCTAGAGAAAAAAATGGTGAGATTGTTTGTGTTTGGAAAAGGGATAGTTGGGTGCCTGCTTATTACACGTTGGCGATTTTAACAATGTTGTGGTCTATGGCTGTTATGGTGGAGGCTCAGGTGTATGTGATTAGTGGGACCATTGCACAATGGTACTTTTCGAAGGATGATGATGAGTCAGGGCCTAAGCACGCGATTAGAAGTTCCTTGAGGTTAGTCATTAAACTAAATAATCGCACTTTAACGGCTTGTAATTTTCATTTTCTTTCTTGATATTGACACTCGTAATATGTAGGCCATTATTCTATTTGTATAGTTTTGATCAACTGGTTCGAAACCATTAGTGCATTGAGGGAGGGGGAATATTCTTATGATCATATGACAGTTGGACTAATTACAAGAGAGAAGAGAGGGAGAGAGAGAGAGAGAGAGAGAGACTATAACGATGCTGCAGAAAGCCCGTTGAAGCTAGAATTTATGTCTAAAATTTTATGGGATGGTCGTAATATTTTTATCAATTGCGATGATGAAGGCTATATTTGGTAAAACTATAGCTGATAAGTTACCTTATAGCTTATTAGTGATTTTTGAGCTTATAGCTTATAACTTATGATTTATAGCTGAAAAGCTAGCTTATTGATAAAAATGTTTGGTAAAATTAGCTGAAATAAAAATTTAAACGAGCTTATTTGAAAAGCTACTCAAAGAAGCTTATGAGATAAGGATACATGAAAGTTTATAAGCTAACCATAAAGAAAATGTAGTACATAGTGAATACTTGAGTTTTATATAATTAACAAAAAATATCTCGGATATGGTGTTTGTAAGTACTAAGTATAGTAATCAACTAATCATATGTTAGTTCACTGAGTTAACAATATTGCAACTTTTTTCTAATTCATCTTTTGTCAGAAATGCATTTGGCTCCTCCTCGGGAACAATTTGTCTCTCGGGATTGCTGATTTGTGTGGTTCGCATAGTTCGATCGGTGGTCGATAGCGCAAGACAGGAAAATTCATCCGGGATTGTGAACTTCATCCTACGGTGCTGTGCGAATGCTCTACTCTTAGCCATTGATTTTCTCAACAAGTTCACGATCAATTTTGTCGCCATAACTGGCGAGTCCTATTGCAAAGCTGCTAGGATGACTTATGAGCTCTTGAGAAGGAACCTCTTATCGACCGTGTTCGTGGAGACTGTGTCGACTCGAATATTGGCCGGGATCGTGCTTGTTTTGTCTGCAATTTATGCGATTGTGGTAATTAATTACTCATTACAATCCTAATTTTTATTTCAGTCTTGAATTATTTTAGTTCATGTGGAGTTGATATTCATATAACCGAATAAACTGAGATATAGCTCGTCATTTCTATCATCTTATGGATAATTGCCAAAGAAATCTGGATAATTTCAATGTTTTGACGAAAACCCGTTTTAGTTTTAATCTTCTACTTTTCTCCTTTATAAGCTTAAAAGTTAAAAAACATTTTGAATATTTTTCCTCACACTAATTTCTGCATCACAAGTATTACTAGTATTTGTGCTATATATCCTTAAATTGAAAAATTCAAACTCAAGCTTTAGTTAGTGATAGGAAAATTCGAACTTTTTGGGTTCTTTAGGTGATGCAGTAACTGTTCTAGGTCCCAAAGTCAGTTTTTAATTAAACTTTATCATTTTTCTTAAAGTACCCTTGAAGTTTGGCTAGTCTACAAAAGACCCCAATTATTTTATGAAGATTTCCAACTACTCCTTTTAGGTACTGCAAAAGCCCTCTTAAGGGTATAGTCTTTTACAAGTGTTTTTTTTTTTTTTTTTTNATCAATCTAAATATTGATATTGATGACATCTTTCGCGACCCCTTTTCTTTCCTGCACGTTGCATCCTTTTCTTTTACCTACATATTTGAAATTTGTATCCGGAAAAATCGTTTTCTTCATATTTTTTTTTTCTCCACGATAAAACACAGGTTTGTGTTCTCCTAAAAGCCGTTTTCCACCTAAGCAACGAAGCCTATTTTGTGGCTGTCATCTCGTGGGCTTTGCTAATCGTGATTCTCGGTTTCTTGGTGCACGTTTTGGACAATGTTATTGACACGGTTTATGTGTGTTACGCCATAGACAAAGACAGTGGAGATGTTTACAAGCAAGACGTGCATGAAGTTTACGTTCATCTGCCCATCAGTCGAAGCCATCGGCCGGGTTTCGTGTCGAGAAATCCTCTCGTCGTGTAAAATTATTTTCGCCCGATTTAGTTCCTCATGTTGTATTATCTTGTAATTTCTTTGTATGTGTCTTTCTTTTTATCTTCTTTGAGAGTGTAAATTTGCAGCATGTGTAGCTTAGACTTTTTTTTTTCTTTATTATTATTATTGTAAACAAAGGTTTTGTGTAATTGGAGGGGCACTGACAAATATTCCCTTAATTGTCGTAAATGGTAATGGGTGTGACAAGCCAGCACAAGCTAATTGGGCCACCAGAATTTTACTGGGACGCTAACTTGAAGTCTCTGGCCCAATTTGTATATAACTTTTTTATTGGGCTGATTGGATTCTGACCTATGGGCCCCCCCAACTGCAAGGTCTGATACGCCTGGTTTTTCTTGGGCTAATTAAACATTTTCCGAGCATTTAGTCCAAAGTTTCAAGTGCATAGAGTTGGTATACGAAATGAGTCGGCTTAATAGTATACGAAATGCTGCTTGACTGATTAAGGCTCGAACTTTGTTTGGTTTGTTTGATAGACGATCTGATCTCGACCTCATTGAAGGCTTGATTGGATAAAAGTTTGTTATATAATTTTTGAACTTTTAATATAATTTGACTTGTCAAAACTTATTAATAAGCTAAGCTTGAGCTAATTTATGTAGCTAACGAGACGAGTTCATCTTGGCTCGTTTTCAGGTCTTACATAACATGTTGACCAATATGGAAATTCGGATTTATAAGTATTTTTTTGCAATATTCCATAGTAATAAGTTTCTATAGTCACTTCCACATGGAAATTTTCACACATTGCAAATGGAAGGGCATTTGGGGCCTCAATTTTGCCTCTGAATAAGTCAGAACTCTCCTTCAACTATATAATTGATATAAATAATGACATGGAAATCTATCAAGTTTGTAATAATTTTTCATTTGATAGTTTTGTCCTCTACTTCTTGGAAAAGATTAATGCTATCAACAAGTCACAATACTTCCATCAGAAAGCAGCTAAGCATACATCAGCACAAGCACATGGTTCTCTAGGAGTAATTACGTAAACCCGCCCTGGACTTTACCCTATTTGCTAAGGACTCCACTTTTCTTACATAATTGTAAATTACCCAGGTAGAGCATCTTCAATCCTACCAATCCATTTTTCATTTCAATAATTGGCTCACAATCAAATGAATCCATTGATACTACGAAGATTAACATAAATTTCTTAAAATTTGGACACAAATTATTCAAAAATGATGAATAGAATATATTTCATCAATATTGCTTTTTCTTTTTTCCCCAAAAATGTGATAGATAGAACAAAACAATACAAGTAGACTTTGGATAAAGTCCACTTTTGTTGTAAATTATTAATTTGTGTACATTCCTAAATTATTAATTCGTGTACATCTCCCTCTTCTCATTTGTTCTCTTCCTCTCTAGTACAATTCATGCTATCATTTAATACTCATATGATATGATTTATATTACCACACATTTTTTATTTTTTTTTTAACATTTTAAATGTACATATATTAAAAGAGAGACATCAACACGGGGGATGTGTCTCCTCCATTTTGTGACTTGAATGAATGATGGACATTTTTTAAACCTTAGTGTTTGTAAATTTTCTTGATTCTCTAAATTATTACACACCATATATTTATATATATTAAATCTTTACTTTTACTTATCCATATATACTAAGGCAAGCATATGCATTAAGGTGTGTACAATTGACCTTACCTAGCTACATTCCTTAGAGGGAGCATTTTTATGGGGATATGAAATACCAAAATTTCATGCATGGAAATTCATGAAAATAAACCGACTTATTATTTAGGAAATAGATAGAGATTGAATTAAGCCTCTTTCTTGAAATTAAGATTGCTTACGCGCTAAGGCTTGTTTGAGTAGCTCAAAGAAAGATTTGTATAATGGTTTATGTTGTTTGAATCGAGATGGGACCATGTATTGCTCCATTCCATCTAATGATCTAAAACACAATATATATCTAACTAATAATTAAGCATAAATAATAATGATACTTATTAGGTTTTAATGAGTTTCACCTTGTGAATGGGACTTCTAAACTTGGAGTAATGTTGCAGAATTAGGCAAACTTAACAAAAACATATGTTTTCAACTAAAATTATACACTCTTTCAACTATTTTAAGCTTAAATATCATATGCTAACAAATAATATAAATAAAAATATAACATTTCAAAGCATACTTTGGCATTATTATTAAAAATTATTATGATTTGACCGTTGGACAATAGGTCGAATCACACAAGAATTTGTGAATACACTCTCATTTTACGCGTCTGGAGAAACTTATAGGTAAAAGATTAGAATCATATGTCAATTACACAATTCATTTGATCACAGTTTAAGATAATTAGTTCACACCTTCTAAATAGGTAATTGAACTTAAATGTAGCTTGCAGTACTCATAAGTTAATTATCTCAATAGATCATGATGATAGTTCTACTTCTATGTATATTGGTTTTAATTAAAGCTGCACTATTTCAGTTAGACCTAAATATTTTGAAACGAAATAATAAATTGGATTAGGTTCTTGTCCACAACACAATATACAAGTGATGTGATATAATAAAGTGCCTAATTTTTTATGGGTATGCAATAAAATTAATCAAATTTCGCTCACTGCCCATAACATGATGATAATAATCTTGTGAATTGTGACTTACACACATATGACAAGTGGATGTATTTATTAAGTAATGATAATAACAGTAAGGCTAGACCTGTAATAAAAACACAAGATAAGTGGCAATTTCCAAAAGCCAAACCTTATATAACCACATCATGTCACTTGTTCACCCCAACTCACATTTTCATACATTGCCATCACTAATTTTAGCTAAGCAAAAATTGACACTTACACTATTTCACAACAATCCTCATGGCTATGGCTTTCAAGATGGTACAAAACTCAGTGTCACCAAATAATTCCTTCTTTCATTTTTTTTCACCTAATTTCCCTAGTTAATTAACAAGATTGTATATTCTATACATACAACATAGACATTAATTGATTTTCAAATTTTGATTTGTTGACAAGATTTTGTTTGGTATTAACAGGCGTTGACAGGTATGTGGGTAACTGAGGAATGCAAGAACTCGTTCATGGAGATGAAATGGAAAAAAGTACATCGATACATAGTTTTCAAGATCGACGAGGGGTCGGAGGTGCTGAGGGTCGACAAGGTGGGGAGCCCATCCGAGGGGTACGATGACATGGCAGCGGCCCTGCCAGAGGACGATTGCCGCTACGCAGTTTTTGACTTTGATTTCGTAACCGTCGACAACTGTCGCAAGAGCAAGATCTTCTTCATTGCATGGTCAGTACACTAGCTTTTTAATCATAAGTCATAACCTTTCTTGATAGAAACTCGATTGTTTATATAGTACAATTTGTTCCCTAATTTAAGATATGGAATTAATTTGTGAACTAATTAAGAAGCTAGTGCAAAGTATTCCCTTAAAGAAGTGCAATTTGCAAATTTAGGTGATTTTTTATTTTTATTCTTTTCTTACTTGAGCTTGCATTTTGAAGAGTTGGTCAATTTTACATATTCATATGTAAATTGATCAAATCAATATTATATATGATACTATGATGTGCTTTTTAATCCTCATATATAACGTTCTTAATTAATTACTAGTAATGTCATTTTTTCATTATCTTTGTCACTATTTTTTAACTATGATCTATTTTTAAAAACAACAATACTATAAAAGATACAATTATATATCATCTGTGTATATGATATATAGTACCATATAATGTAAAAATAATACAACACCATATATAATTGAAAAATAACATCAAGTTCGATTCTATTTACACGGTTTTTACATCAGAACTTACTTTCATTACAACCTTATAATATGTATTTAATTATTGATTTTGCAGGGCACCAACAGCTTCAAGAATTAGGGCAAAAATGCTTTATGCAACCTCAAAAGATGGACTAAGGAGAGCTTTGGACGGTATACACTATGAAGTGCAGGCGACTGACCCAACTGAGATGGGCTTTGACGTCATCAAGGATAGGGTCAAATAATTGACCTACAGATTAATTAGTTCAAAATCATGTTTAATTTGGCATCTAATTAATCTCTTTTCTCAATTAGCTTCTAATTTAATAACACCACTTGCTAACGAGGTGCGTGCTTTTTCTTCTAGTTAATTAAAGTTGGTAATTACCATCACATTTTTCCAATATGTGGTGGATTAGCTCTCTAATTTGCAATAATATACTCGACTTTGTACTGTTATTATATCAACTTTGTACTGCCATTATCGACTTATCAGTAATAATTGGCATTGACTACTAAGTACTAAGTAGCTTTTATTGTACATGCATCCTTTTTTTTTTCTTNTATTAACTAATTTGCAATTCTTTAAAGGTTGTATATGGTTTACACTTTACACCAACCAATTGTTAATACAAATATTCATTTTCGTTCACAAATTATAACGAGTAAACCCGTCTAACGATTAAAGTCTTCTCACACGAGCGAGAAGTAAAGCACTAAAAGCCCATATAGCTAATTGTTGGGTTTGTCATATTAGCCCAAAACCAAGAGTTATTGGACCTAAAATGTCAACCTAGAAATTGAATTTCATGTTATTTTTAGAGTTTGCAAATGCTAAGTGGAAGTTTAATCTACATGGCAACACTGGGTTCACTTCAAGTGAATAATAATAAGTGCACTATTAAACTTCCCAAAAAATATAAAAATAACTCAAAAAGTGCTTTTATAGGGACGGCCCAACAATCGTTTATAAATTTTTCTGGGCCCAATGTTATTGTATAGGGGCACTAGATAATCAATAAATTATAGAGAATTTTGCACTCCATGCGAGAAGATTCCTCAATTTTTGTAACTCTACCATAGTAACTAAAATAATTGCGTATCTATCTAAATCAACATACTTAATTAAATGAATGTCTAAATAAGTTATCACATCCTTTCCAACGCCCTCCCTTGTTATCCGCTTAAATTACCGTTTCATTTTGGAAAAAAAAAGTTCTCTACATATTGATGAAGCAGATCAACTTTACTGCTCGATAGCCCTCCTAAAAACGCGGCTGAGATGATGACTGATTGTGGTTCACCGGCAAGGGGCTGAAGAAGAGGGTCGCCGAAATCTGATGGAATCTATGGCAATGGGAAATCTGATGCTGCGCTATTGTCGTCGCTGGCGGTGGTGGCTAGTACGGGTGGTTGGGTAAGGAGTGACGACAAGGTAAAATCGAGAAGGGCTTGGGATTATCTTCTGAGCGATTTCTCAGAGGTTGGGAGCTCTGAGATTTCTGTACGATGAGGTGAACGATGATGAGAGAGAAAGAGTATATATGCAGTATATGTAGAGTATATGACCCTCGTCCCCGCCAAAAA